GTATTAACTATGTAACTACATGATGACAGATAATGTGGAAGCACTGTCACATAATCCTGTTGCAAATCCCCATCACTAGTAGTCACTAATCTAACCCATACCCTGTCTCCTTTTACCTTTGGATTCTTCTACTCATAATGCTTTCAAATAAAGAAAAAGGAAAAGAGAGACTAAATATAAACAGCATTGTGTTGCAATCATTAAAATCACACATTCTCTTAATTAACAATACACATAATGCAAATACAATTAAGGAATGACCTATTTCATATGCTCAGGCTACCTCACTACTAAAATTCAATAAGATAAGGGTGAGGTGTTTACAATGCAGCTGACAAAAGTAATGGAGGTGTTTATTATTTGTATTTCCTAAACTCACCAAATTATCTTTTTCCTAACATTTTTTCTTTTCATTTAATTTATTCACCTGGATTTCACTGAAGTGTTCTAGATGAAATTTTGACAGATACATACTGCTTTAAGGCAAATTTCAAGATGCTGATTGATTTTGATGTCACTATAGTATAAGCCATTTAAATTTTATTCCCTAAATCTTTCTCTGCTAGTTTTTTAGGGCAACAGAAACAGATACACTGCATTTTTATCATTTTCTGCACTCATTTGGTAAGCGAGAAAACATAAAAAATATATTTACCATGATATTTCATATAACAAAGAAAATGTGACCTAACAATGTCAAAATCCTTATTACACAAACCTGAAAATAACAAGCCAATAATCTTTTTATATTTGCAGCAGACAGTAGCTTTACAATCCTGAGGCTAATAGAGATGAGCATATGACTTAGACTAATATTTACAATTTTCTATAATTCCACGGAAACAGAAATGCATTTATTCACACAGAGCATTGTAATAAAAACTGTGTTTTCAGCCTTGCCTTACAGAAATCTAAAATAGATCTATTTCTCATTGCAGTTCAAATTACACTTCTACAAAATGGGTTATCTTCAGATATCTCTAATGATAGGCAAACACATTGTGTCCTTCAACTTAAACAGTCACAATTTGCACAGCTGAAGGAAAAGGGTTTACCCTTAGAATTTTCCAGGTATTTCCCTGCAGAAGGCCAAACTCTTTAACAGAGTGCTCTCCTTGTTGCTTGATGCTCATTAGCATTAGCACCTTAGTGAACAAGTGCGGAGCTAACAAAGATTCTTCTGATTCAGCATGTACATACAAAAGACCTTTTAACTTCACAGTATTTAAGAGTTTTATTTACTTATGGTCAAAATAAGACAGCGGGGAAAAACTAAGATAGCCAAAGAAAGAACAGGTCTACTCTTTAAAGTATTCAAATACCCCATACTGCCATATTATCATATATCCACAAAAAAGAGATTCCAGGAACAGTGTGTTACAAAAGTATTCTATCAAGTAAAGGGAATTTTTGCAAACTACCTGTAAACCGGCTCTTATCCCCTCCCACTGCCCACAGTCTATGCATATTCCAATAATGTTGTTTCTCCTGTTTTTCACTCAAGCCAATGCTAATTGAGTATCTTTGAATTTATTTTGGGGTATTGATACTGTCTAGAGACAGGAACCTGTTTATCAAAGGTAGAAATTTTTACTCTGCCACACTTTAATTCAGCTAACAAAAAGGTGTCACTAACATTCACAGGAAACTTATTTTCTGAACAGAGAGAATAGCAATATGTAAATGCCTGGATAATGCTTCAGGCAAAGACTTTGAAAATATATATATTATGCATATAATTTCTTGGCAGGCTGTAAAAACTCAAAACCCATGAATATATTTACTGTACTGAAATACTAGACAAATTGTGTTGATAATATATAAAATCATTAATCTGAAAGATTCCTTTATTAATGTAAGTTAGACATTCAAAGAGCTTGGCCTTAAATGAGAGGCGGTGAAGACTTCTAGTGTCACATTTAAAGAATACTGTTATTTCTGATATGCAATATCTTTTAAAATCAGATCAATGGGTACACTTGTATCAGAGAAATAAACCTGATCAGTAAGTTAAGGAAATACTCTGTATTTAGTATGTTAAAAAAATATTGCTTTAATTATGGCTCTGAATTTCCTTTCTGTAAGATTTGTGCTCAGAACAAAGTTCAGGGCCTCATAAATCAGAAAAACCACTGGGAATTTCTGCATTAGTTCCTGTGCATCCAGATTTTCAACCTGTACAAAACAGTGGCTGAGACAGCCTTCAGTGTTCTTTTTTCAACTGATATTGGCCAACTGGGAGACTTATCAATTGTAAGTAAGTGTAAATCTGCTTTGAAGCTGAAAGCTGAACTGACAGTTTGAAAATCTTTCTATACACAAATTAGGGACTGTCTATATACTTGCACATTTCTATTCCTATCTCCAACTTCTTGCCTAATATGTTTCACTTCCAATAAATAAATAATAATTATAAAGATAATAACCCCTTTTTGTTTTTCCAGTTAGCTTAAAAGGACCTTCAAGTGAAAAAATCTCATCACAGAAACACACAATTGATGCAATTAATGCGACCAGATGTCTCTGAAATAACTGAATAACCATCCTAGGCCAAGATAATTCTGAGAACTTAAAAAATTAAAACACAAGCAAAAAAACACAAACAAACAAACAAAACCTAACAAAACCAAAAAATAACCACAAGAAAACCAAAGGAACCACAGGTTTGAAATTAGCTACAGCTTGTGGTGGAATTTAGTATTTTGCCCTTGACCACAGAAATCCTAATCTATATGACTGCACCTTTCACAGACCACCATTGTGGTCTTTGGTGGTAGACATTTAAAGATGGGGAGATATTGGCTATGCACAGCATATCTAGCTTCCCTATGTTTTCCCTTTGATTTCTACTGCATGCACACCACTTTACAGAGTGTTTAAGCTTAAAAAGAGAAGTTGACAGCAGTGCCTCTACCAGACTGTCTTTAAATTTATAATTCAGAATTCATACTTATTCAAAATGAAGAAAATTATCCACCAGAGAATGCAATAATAACACTACAAACATAAATATATACACCTGTGCATTTTGGATTAAACAGGCTGTGGAAATACCTATGTATTTTATGTTTTATATGCAATTACACAGCTAATAACTAAAATAATTTAAGACACTAAAGCTCAGTATACACAATAAGGAAAATATTCTAAATTGCAGAAGCTGTTTAACCATCAAATAAATAAATGTGTAACTGTTTTGAACAACAAAAGAAGGACTTTAAAGTATAACCTGTAAGTTAAACTGATCTGAAGTTCAGCACTCAGCTCTGGGGGCACCACATATATAAATAGAGTGTATGGCTGTGTAGATCTGTGAATAATTAAAAAAATGTAGGTTTGGCTGTACTATTGGTATTAAGTCTAGCAGAAAATTTTGTAGACATGCTTCACAAAATCATACTGTTTTTCAATGCTGCAATTATCACAAACACCTAAATATTTAATTTCTACATAACAGCAAAGAGAAATGTAGATCTTTTGCTCTAATTTCCACATTTTCAGATCTGTTAAGCACCTAATATTATTTGGTCTAACTCCTGCTGAAGTTAGAACTCTTGATGGAATTTGGTCAAGGAGCAAACCAACTACACAAAGAAAGGTTCCTTTTACAGAACATGGGTGTCTGTAGTCAGTATCATTCACAGAAAAGATCATGGAACTTTAAAATGAACTGTATACTTCTCATGTTCAGGCAATATAGGCGACAGTTACTTGCAAGTCTTAATAATCTAAATAAGTCTTAATATTGTAAATCCTGATTTAGAAGGGACTCATCAGGATCTAGTACAACTTCTGGCCCTGCACCACAAGGACAATGCAAGAATCACACCCCATGCCTTAGAGTGTTGTCCAAATACTTTTTTGAACTCTGTTAGGCTTGGTGCTTTGACCACTTCCCTGGGGAGCCTGCTCCAGTGCCTGACCACCATTTATTTTAAACTGTAAAACTTCTCATTTTCTCTTGATCCTATTTAAATCAATGGAAGTTCTGTCAAGCTTTCTATGGAATCAATCTAATCCTAAATGAAAAACAATATTTTAGTTTTCAAATTTCATCTTAAGACTTCTCATTCCTATATAAACAAGTGATTTCCTCCAAAGCAGCATTTATAACTTCTGATGTATAAGTCCCAGTCATATATCTCCCAACTCCAATTTCTGCCATTGTTCATCTCCTCTATGCTCATCTTTATCAACAAAGTATACTGTATCTTACAGTTACTCATATATACTATGAAATAATTTTACTCTGATATCAAAGTACAAATATGGTTGCAAAAAGGTAGTTTCAGAATTTAATCAGTTGGGCTATATCTTGCTCAAGCAAGGCTATCAAAGTTTTCCATATTATGAAGTACAGTCCAATAGATTTTCATCTCAACTGTCCAAAATAAATTCCTAAAAAAAATATGAATTCAAGGATTTATGTATTCATTGTTGGAAAACAGAAAAAACTGCAGAAACTAATTTCTCTGTTTAAATTATAAAGCACTGAATATTTCAATACATGAGCATAACAGTGTAAGCATCTTTTAAGTGTACCTTCAAGTTCTAGAAATATTTGGAATGAAATACTACCGTCTTCAAACTAAGTTTGTGAAATAGGTGATAATTAAACAAATACTTAAAAAACCAATTAAAAGTATAGGAAGGCTACATAAACCGAAGTGACATAAACATAGTAAAAATAATTTTAGTATTTTGGTGTACAGCAAATGTACAACTTGTTTTTTACAGTCAAGTAGGTAAAATAACATGCAATTTCTATCACTGCTTCTCATATTACAATATATCCATTTACAGATAATAGGATTAGATTCACCACTGTTCTCATTTTGTAGGCTATTTTTCATTTAATCTTCTTATAGTAAAAAAGGGGGGAATTTCACCTTTATAAATAATAAAACCCAAACAATGTTATCTTGTCAGAAGTAACACATCCAAGCATATTATATCCTATTTAGTTAATGTGACCAGAGAATAAAAAACCTGCATCTTACCTCAGACCAAATATATGGGATTGTTCATAATTGAATAAGGAATGAATTTTAGCTTCTGAGTTCAAAATTATAAGCCTGTCAATGATATCCTGTCAAAGGAAGAGAAATTTAAAAAATCATGTATGCTTTTATAATTTATGCACATCATAGTTTCATAGGGATATTTATTATTGAATGAAACCTATTATTAAAACACATACTGAAATTAATTATTTTATGTAATTATTATCAACAGTCAACTGCAAAAATGAAGAGGAAAATGGTAAAAATTTCCTACCCATGTAGAAGGTTAGAAAAAAAAAATCTGTTTAAAAATATAAACATAAAAAAAGATCTTTGCATATCAACTATCCTAGTTCTTTATTATTAAACCACCAAAAAAAAGTTAAATATTTTTTGTATGCTTGAAGTGTGTACATGTCTATTTTAATGAAGAGAACAGCAACTTCTTTAGTACAATAACCCTTTCTCATACTGGCTGGTACTACATGCTTCAAGACACAGCCATTTAGTCTCAGTATAGCAAGGCTTGGCTCAGATGTTGAGGCTTATACCTTTCATCTTGGATGACAGACAATGACTTGTGGCTACTTCTCACTTCTTCCACAAAGCCAATCTAATTATCTTCCCCTCTGGCATTCTGCATATGCAAACTGTTTCTGAAGAAATTATTTCATTAAAAAAACTAAGGAATGAACAAAAACTTTCAGTGATGTTATTATGTCAGAGACAGATTGCTATGCTATGGCTTGAAGAAACAGATTACAAAATCCTTATGAGCTTTCTTTAATCTCAATTAAATACAGAGTTTTATTTTCTCCGCATTTTAGAAGTACAGTTTCAGAGACAGCAGAGGGAGTTATTATTTACCTAATTAGATCACTGAGTCATTTCAATAAGATATGAAGGGAAAGTTAAAACCCATACATTCATGAAATCCACAAAAGCTCTGGTTTTCAACAAAGAAAAGTAGAAATCATGAGTAAAGCTCACAATAGTAGAACAAAAAGATTAGAACTTTTCAAAGTAAACTGTCTTCATAGAATGTACTCATTTAAAACACAGTGAAAGCATATTTTTCCTGTTAGATTTTTGCGACAGTGGGGGAGACTGCTTTTTTCACTTAGTACACTTACAATAAAATTCTCTATTAAAAAACTCAACTTAAACCTCAAGGCTGCCCATAAAAATGATAATGCAAACAATTGATTTGTTTGGGATTTAAGATTTTTTTAGATATTTGTACACACAAAGAGTTTTAAATGCTAAGGGACATTTCTCTGCCATCAACTTCCTTCTCTCATTTATAAATCAAAGCTTGGAGCTGCAAAAGAGTACAAAGACCAGGCACAGTGAAAGGACTACTGAGAAAGGAGACTAAGCTCTGATTTGGGATTTTAGGAAGGAAGATAATGAACAAGGCCTAACACAAGATTACACCCAAAAATGTGTGGATAGATCTGCTCTGCTCAGCTACAGAGCATATCTTAAATATTACAGGTCAGATATAATCTACTTTGAATGCCACAAACCATCTAAGATTCTTCAGAATCACTGAAGAAAATCACCTGTTCTAATATCTTACAAAGCTACAGGTCTAGAAGGTACCTTCCAAACTAGATTCCAGTGAACATATATATATATACTGCAGAAATCTTCATAGACTAAAGGCAGGGAGAAGAACCCTCACTTATGGATTCCATTTTCTAAAATAATTTTACATGCCAAACATAGTACAGAGAAATCTTGCATGAATTAATAAAAATTTTCCTAAGGGCACAAATAAAAAACTGATTAGTCTTCAGTTAAAAGTCGTAAAAGCTCAACTGATAATCTGTTCAACCAGTGATATAGCTAGTCAGATAAAAATACAAAGGAGGTAAAAATTTTTTAAATCCCAGGTATTCAAGAAATAAAGGATATACAAAAACGATTAAGTGTTGTGCATTAGCAAATATAGTTTAGCATGAACAAGCCACATTCTGTGGTAATGTGACACAATTCAGAAATAGAGAAAAAAGCAAGGAAAACAAAGTAGTTAGTTCTTCCATTCAAATCTTCTAGTGGCAGAGAAGCTGCTTTTACTTTGCTTCCTGTAGTTATATCTGATCAAAATCTTTTATCTTTTGCTTTCTGCAATTGCTGCCCAAAAACATGGTTATAACAAACCTGTATCTCTTAACTTCAGAAGTTTTCTGGGTACTTAGTCTCAGCCATTATAAGTTAAATTAATGTTAGAGGATCTGACTATTTCCTTTCTGTTAACTACATAATCTTGAATGCAAATGGATTACAAATGGATTGTTAGGCTTACAAAACCCACTGCTACACTGTAGTTGTTGAGACAAACCTCATCCAAAATATCTTTATCTCCCCAGGGAACTTTGAACAATTGTATCAGTACTGGCATTTCTAGAAACCTAGAAAATTTCATAAAAATACTCAAGCAACTCAAAAGCTAAAATAACACTGGCTTTCAAAAGTTACAAAAATCATTCTTGAGATCTACCACAATTTGAATGCTCTCAAGTATTTATCATCCTCAGCATAGATCTATCTTCCTCACTCCCAGTTCCTTAAAACCTTGATAAATGAACAAAGCTATCTATCAGTAAACACACTAGCACTGAGTAGATTGGAAAAATTAAATTTATCATGCAATTTCTTCCCAAAATCAGCAAAACAATATTGCAAAAAAGAACTCAAAAATCCCTTCCAAATATAACATACAGTATTATGACAAACTCTGTCTCAACAACTTAAAATATCACCAATCCAGAGCCTGTGCTAAACAAACATTTCAATGTAACACCAATTTAAAATGCTAACTCATTAGGAAAAAACCTGATTTTAACTGTCACACAAGGTCACAAATTACTTGTCTGTGCTTTGTAGATGAGAAAAAGATGTAACTGACTGGAGTAGAATGATTGAATACAAAATAATACTAAATACAGAAATGGTGAAGCTATTTTTCTGAAGTATGCTTAATCAGTAGCTTTCCAAGTGATGATTTTTTCCTTTGTGTGAATCATATGTCCTTTTAAAAAAAATAGCCTGAGGTATGTGGCTTTTGTGTTTTCATTTTGTTTTGGTTTTTTTTCCTTTACTCTTTTTAAATCCACAGATAATGTGGTAGAGCCATGCTGTAAAAAATACAAGTATATACATATTTTCCAATATTTTCCTGTATGCACCTGTATGCACCTGTATGCACCTACAAACATGTCTATTTATGTTACATTTTTTCTGTGGGAAAACACAATTCTAACACAAGTGAAGAAAGACGATCTTTAAATCAGGCATCAAAATTTATATTACCTTTAAGATTTCAAAATGAAAATTTAAGTTAATATGAAGTGTTATGTGCATATACTGCCCTCATGCTGTATATAATACAAAATGCAGAAAAATTCAAAATCTTTCAATAAGAAAAAATAATTATTCTTTTGTAACAATAACATTTTCTCAGGAAAAAAATGTCTTCACAGAAGTATTCTTCTTTCAAAATACTTACAATTATATCTGTGGGTATTTCACGGAATGAGTACATAGGTTTATTTGCTATATCTTGTTTACTCAGGAGTTCAAAAACTGCTGGATAAGTGAGCATATTTACCAGAAACAAAAAAGACTAGAGAAAGAAAAAAAGGAGAGAAAGCAGGGAATATTAATCAGTTAAGGGCAACCAAGTAAGTGTTAGCAATTATTTGCCATTTACATTACCTTTGTTCTTACGCTTCATAAGCTGAATTTAACATAGAGACCTGCCCTAAATAAGACTGCATATCCTGGTAGGCATTCGTGTAATCTAAAAGGGCGGTAGTGTCTGAAATATCTATTATCTATCAAATTAGATAGACAAGCAATTTTGAAAATTACAGTATTTCATTACCACATAATTCTAAAATCTAGAGACAAAAAATACTCTAAACGCACCACTCTTCCTGATTTTAATATGGTAATCCGGACATAAACTGATGGCCAGCATTTAAGACTTAGTTTTGTCATGATTGTTATTCATTATTTAATAGTTAATCCTTGGTATTGTGAACTGCTATGCAACACAAGAATCCTTTATCAGTCATCATTTAACTAGTGTATTATACCAATTTTGATACCTGTGCCAAGAAGCAGGTATAGTTGTAATAAAAATTTACAGAAAGGTATGTATCATTCTATCTGAACCAGAGCACTGTTTCTTTCCATACAAAAGCATAAGATTAAATAATTTCTCACCTTCTGACAACTTTGGTCAATAGGATCAACTGGAGTAGATCTTGGTTGAGTTATTCTCAAATCATCTTTTCCACACTCCAGAAGAGCCCATAATTCAGTTACAAGTGCCTTTATAAAGCCTAAAACAAATGTTTGTTCTAATTATGAGGTTCATATTAGGAATATTTTACAACACAATTCTAACCAAGATTGACAAAATTCTCTATGCTGAAGGCTGAAATTTCACAACACAGATTGCCTTAGGGTTACTATCCCTTCTATTCTCAATCCTTTACTCAAAACGACCTTTCTAGAGCAGTCTGCTTTTGTTCTATCTACAATCTGCAGCAATGGTTTCCAAAGATCATTACACTAGAGTAGAATTGTATTTATATATCTTCTATGTAAATGAGCTTCTGACCTTCTTCAAAAAGTTAACTGCAATGGATTAAAGATTAGCTAGTATTGTCTCTGTGGTTCTAAAATACAGATTCACTATAACTCATTAATAAATTAAAACATACCACAGCGAAAAGGACAAGAAATCCCCCAACTTTAAGAGAAGCACTACTAGCTGAATTTAAATTGTTAAAATTTAAAAAGTTAAATATTTAAATAGAAGAGGAAAGAGTCATCTAACTCTGAAATCTTCAAATGTAAGGGCTGAAAATCAATGCTGAATATTTTTGGTATATAATTTGTCTCTGACACCAAAGGGTATAAAAAGGCCATAAGAAGTAATTTGGCTGAAAACCTTACAACAGGACAGATGGGTAACTCCTTGGTAGATCTGCTCCTTGCTTTGTGAAAAATCCCAGAGGCATAAATAGTAACTAAAAAACTCATCAGTTTCCTTGAGTGGCAGAATTTTCCTGCCTTTCTGACAGTCTTTCAGTCAACACCAGCCACTTCTAGATACTCAGAGAGATGATTTGCAACCTTGGTACCTCCTGGACTTTAGCAACTTAAGACACTACCTTAATTTTATTGATGAAATTCTAGTTTTAATATAATGGATACTTGGACTGTTGATGATATGGTAACAGTTGGGTTATCTGAAATTCACTCTGAAGGGACGTTGCCTGAATTGACAATTCTTCTTGGAGCACAATCTCATTTACATCTCACTAATATGTAACTGCATGAATGACATTTAGGCCCTTGCAATTCCTCACCTTTTGACAGTCAGTAACCATGGAAATGTACATACAAATTAGAGACATCAACAGATATTAATTCTGATCTGCAGATCAATAAGAAACACCTGCAAACTTATTTTTAAACAGCACAAATGTCTTCACACACATACAGAAAATTTCTGGAAATCAAACTAGTGAAGTAAAAATTTTGTGTAATATCAGAGGGAAAAAAAACAACCTAAAATGCTGCATCAAGATTAATGAATGACTTGAAAGCGGTAGAGAATTAATTTCCACCAAGAAGAAATTAACAAACATTTAGGAGTTTTTGTTAGTACTGTGTAATTATTTTACACAGCTGATCTTTTTCTAACATCTTTCTCACTGTCTTTTTCCAAAATGCAAGACTACAGCATGCAATTACTCATAATAACATCATTCTTCAATTTACCTGAATTCTGCAGAGCTACTGCAGCCATTGGTGTTGTTGCCATTTGTGTAACAATGACTCTATTACCAAAGTCTTCATATTCATTTGTCTGTTGATAAGAAGTATAAAAGTGCAGTGTAGGTAATTCAGAAGACATGAAACTCTCAAATGATCTCTTAAATATTGATCTTTCTTACCCTTGTTTACAGAATTTAATCCACTTTATGCTTAGACTTGAACAGTTCATAGATACCATCCTCTACAGACTTACGAGGGTCAGATTCCTAACCAAACACCTTTATAAAATATCTTATAAAAATTTAAACACAAAATACTGTGGTTGAGACATGCAATATAAGCAAATAAAACCATTAGTATTATAACGTTCTTGTACACATTCAGTAGGATGCCTTTGGCATTACTTTTTTTTGTCATAAAAATGCACATTATTTGATTTTTTTGTTTATATTTCGAGCTTTGTCTAGCATATTTAGATTTCAACGTGACCTACTAACATTGTCTAAAAGAATTTGCACTTAGAAGAAAATAATATTTTTTTTTAGCACTTCAAACTTTACAGTAAAAAGTAAACTATAAGGACTCTGCAATGCTTACCTGGACTTTTTTTGATAAACTGTTAAACATAAAGTTCACGCAGTCATTCATGGCGCCTGTACTATGAAGCAGAAATAGTCCTTTGGGTGTGGTAGAAAAACTTAACAACGCATCTAACAAAGTCTCTTCCCATAACAAACTGCAAGAGTAACAAAATAGTAATTAAAAACAATATGTAAAAGGCATGAAAAAAAAAGCACAATTCCTAACCTTTGAGGAGCAACAGTACTTTACTCACTGGACACTATGCTTAATTTATAAGTTTATGTTAGATTAAAAGAAGCATTTGGGAAAAGAGATAATATACTTTGCATTTTGTTCAAACAATCAAATTCAGTGTGGCAAAACTAAGGTTAGGTAGGAACTCAGAAAAGAGAGATGATCTACAGGGGAACCTAAAAGACCTATGCTATCCTTAAATATGACTTACAACCTGACTCTATACAGTCTAAAGATGTTAACATGGCAGTTACATGTTGTCAAAACAGGCACAGAATTTCTCAAAAATGTAAAAACACTACGAGGAACTCACATTTGAGAAGGTAAAGGCTCCTGCAAGAACTTGGTATAGAATTATGAAGAAAGGTGCTGTATTTACACAATAACTTTACATACTAAGAGCAGTAAATGGAAAATCAACGTACTGAATTTTCAGATTCCCAAATACTTGTGTATTTCTCCTCATAATGAACACAAACTTCTATAAAGGGACATTAAGTTTCAGTACAAAAGGAAGGACACCTTTCACTTGGTATGTATTAGGCTTTCAGCCAAAATGCTGCCAATCTTGCTACATAGTATTTTGAAGGTGTAAATATGATTCAGCAGAAGAGCATTTTACATTAGCACCAGATCAAAGGCATAAGATAAACAGACAGCTATTTTCTTCTGTGCTTTCTAATTCACATTTTCCTTGAACCAAATTCTTAAGTCAGAGAGAATCAACCATAAGCCAATTTTACATAGATCAGACTGTCTAAGCCAAAAAAGTTGTTAAAGGTCAGGAAGAATTTTGTAGCTCTAGTGAGACCAATGCTAGGATACTTTCTCTACCTACCACTATCCTTTTGGCAAAAATACTGGGTTTGGCTGGGATAGAGTGCATTTTCTTCTAAGCAGTCGGTAAAGTGCTGGTTTTTTGGATTTAGGATGAGAATAATATTGGTAACACACAGATATTTTAGTTACTGCCAAGTACTGCTAATCAAAGTCATGAACTTTCTAGTTTCTCATGCTCTGCACGTGAGCAGGTACACAAGAAACCACCAGAGAGCACAGCTAGGAGAGCTGAGCCAAACTGGCCAAGGGGATATCCCATAGCATGGAAAGTCATGCATAGTACAATAAACTGCAGGGAGTTGGCCAAAAATCACTGTTAAGGGATGAGCTGGGCATTGGTCGGAGAGTAATGAGCAATTGAATTGTACGTCACTTGTTTCTCTTGTGTGTTACTTCTCTCTCTTCTTTTCATTACTATTAATATTATTATTACAATTAGTAGTATTAGTATTATTAGTATTATTAGTATTATTAGTATTATTAGTATTATTAGTATTACTGTATTTTATTTTGTTTCAATTATTAGACTGTTTGTATCTCAACCAATAATTCATTTTCCTGATATTCCTCCCCATGCCATTGGGATGCAAATGGCTGTACGGCATTTAGTTGCCAGCTGGAATCAAACTACAACAAAGACATGGGGTTACAAGACATCTCAGCTGTAGTTAAAGCAGCAGTGTGTGTTCACACTTATTCACGTGCATAAGTCAAGTACCAAATTACCTGTTTTTTGATTCTTGACTTATTGATGAAGTGGAGTCTGCATCAGTTACAGGAGTAGGCACTCTTTCTGAAAGCAAACTTGCCTGTAAAATGAAAATAAACAAACACCTCCTAAATGTTTATTTACACCATTTTTAAACTCCAGATCTTGTTCATTCTCTTGTTATATACAAAAGGAAAAAAACACAGTGATTAGTTGCAGTCTAGTCTTTGGCACAGAATACACTAATCCACTACACTGTTTTTATTCCAGAAAAGCTTATTTTTAACTTCTTCCTTGGGTATAAACAATTTTAAAGATAGTATATTTTAAATATTTTTATTTTACTTTACTTTCCAACTGGAGACTCCCAAATTAAAAACTGGCATTTAAAAGAAAAAAATGAAGAAAAGGAAAAAAAGAAAAAATTGTAACACAACTCTTTAACTCCATTTCTGTCCATGGAAATAACAGCCTCTAGACTCACTATACCAAACTTATTAATTAATTAATTCTGCCATTATTTATTTTTTTATAAATTATATAAATGTATCTATATTGTTATTGATGTCATTAAAGTTACAGACATAAATTTATATACGTAGTTTTATATTTGATCATTTAAATTGTATTTGAAAATAACTGGCATGAAAGACAGCATATTTAAAATTAGTTATTTAAGTTGCTTTATGTTTATGGGAGAAAAGTCAAATTACACCATTGAAATAAAAGTGAGCAGTTATTAATTTACTGCCTTATAAATCTGATGCACAAAATCAACAAAAGATTCTATTAAACTAATCAATTGTACTGGATCTGTTGCTCCCCTGTTATTATCATCTCTATAAATTCTGTCTCAGAATTCCATCAGATTCTGCAAAGAAGAAAATTAATTTCTTTCTCCATTAGTCTTAAAACTCTGGGAGATATGTAAAAGAAAAGGATATAAGTTACCAGTCCAACCATTAAAAAATTGATACTACTGCTTGGAAAGACTCCAACATAGTCCACTGTTTTTTGTTACTCTATAAATGGTAATATATTTTGTAAGCTTCAGGTGTTTTAAAATTGAAAAGTGATATAAAATATTATTACAAGTAGTAAGATGATGGAGTTGACTTTCCTGTAATAACTTCCTGATTCTTGAAGTCAAGAATATGTTGATTCTACTTCAGTTTATATATACCAAAGTGAAGTGAAGAAATAGCATTTTGTAGGGTAGACTTTGTTTTTATTCAACACATTTAGTCTACTTATCTTGTACATGTCAAGACAATTTGTCTAAATTATGTTATATAGCATAATAAGCTAGTTTAATGTCGAAAGAAGTCTGTACAAAGTGCAAATGCTGTGGATTTTTAGAGAAAATAACTGGAAATGCCCATCAAAAGCTCTTAACACTCTGCCTGTGATAAACACTAAATAGAATAAAAACAGACCACTTTGAGTAAAACTGATGAGTTACACAATAGGAAAGCATCAAAAAGAAGACTGCTGAGTTACGTCAATTACAGCATGAATCAAGTGAACTAAGCTCCTTGATTCAACAAAAATCCTCGAGTGTCAATGCAAGAAAGAATATAAGTTTCAAAACCAACATTCTTTGATGAGAAACAGAATTTATTGGGATGTAATTATGATTTTAAATATTAATATATTTTATTTTTAAGACAATGTATGCCATCATAGCAATATTAATATATGAAACAGTGAGAAATACCCACAAACTGGTGATGTAAGTATCTTCTATTCATGTTTTACCCTTCTGGTATTTTCTGCCTCAGTTTACATTGTGACTGTATTTTTAAATACCTCATCATAATAAAAGCATACAGTAGAAGCATACAAGAAGGAAGAACAGCTGTTCCATTCTTTTTTCCCTTGCATTCATTTTCCCTCCCACTTCCTCGCCTCCAGAAATAACAAATTTAGTCTTTTAGTCCATTCTTTGTTCCAGTTTGATCTGATCCCTCTCTAAGATATAAAAAAGATAGTCCCACTTTTCAGTGTAAAGTGATTAACACACCTAGACTCTGGTTTTCCACTACGAGTCCTAATACATACAGTTTAAATATGCTTTCAGTTAAGCTGGAAGCCAAAGTTGAAGATTTGTTTGCTGTCTTTACCTAAATTGTGCCAATGTTATTTTAATGATTCAAATGTTGGAATTTGCTTCTCTGTGAACTTTTTGAAAACAGCATTTGCAGAATCTGACGTAATTTCTCCATCGTAAGTAATTTTTTACAATCACAAGAATTTTCACACTGCATGTGACTATTAGAACAATGAAAATAGAACTGACAATGATGAGGGGACTGGAGCATCATCATTTATGAAGCAAGTCTAAGAGAGCTGGGCTTGCTCAGTCTTGAGAAGAGACAACTGAGAGGGTTCCTCAGCAGTATCTGTCAATATCTGAAAGGAGGGTGTCAAGAGGAGGGACTAAGGCTCCTGTCACTGGTGTCAAGCAATAGGGCAAGAGGCAATGGGTAGAAACTGATGCACAAAAAAGTTCCACCTGAACATAAAAAAACTTCCTTACTGTGCAGGTGAATAAGCACTAGACCAGATTCCCCAGAGAGATGGTGGAGTCTCCCCCACTGCAGATAGACAAGAACCCTCTGGACACAATCCTGTGCTACATGCTACAGGATTATCCTGCTTGAGCAGGGAGGTTGGACCAGTTGAGCCATTGTGGTCTCTTCCCATCTTACCCATTCTGTGGTTCTGTGATAACAGAAAGCAAAATACACAGAACTGTTGGATTCAAGCACTTTCTCTCATGTAGAAAAAACACAGGACTAGCAATCAAACTGAAGTTGAAGTACAGAGTCTAAACTTCCTAACAAATCCATGTACTCAGGTAAGACAAAAACTCCTGCCTGACACTTCTCACTATGGTCTCTTGAGAATATTTCAATGTTACCTCACTAACAATTGCAATCTGCTTTTTTTTTTTTTTTCTCCATATATCCCACTTGACACAAACCAGTTCAACTAAAAATTAGTAAGAGCACATCTCAGGAGTATTTTCTTCTTTCAAAATATCCCAAATCAAGAATGAAGGCAAGATCTGTGGCTGTCAGTGGTTATCATGACACCAAGTTACTTGTACCATCAAGGACAATGAATGACAGGTCTCCCAATGCATCAAGAGTTTCTGATTTAATCTTAGGCATAGAAGTCTCAAATTAAACTTCAGCTAGGTTCACATTCAGAAGGAAAATTTGCAAGTAGAACTTTTTTGACAACAGTTTCAAGTACTATCTAACTGCTTAAAAATAATTAACCTGTAAGAACAACTATTACACAAGCTGAACCTCTCACAGTAAGATTTTTTCCAATTCAAAAGCAAAATTTACCTTTCTCCAGGCCTCTGCAATAGATTCATGCAAGCCATAAGGAATTAGCATCTGTAGGCCTTCACAAGTTCTGTATATTTGACGGCATACAAAAATGAAAGTTCCTTTAACAACTGACATAAGTTCAGATCCAGATAAAAGAGGAATGTCATCATGAAGAAGTTTCTTTGTAAACTGAACAAGTACATGAGCAGCTGTAGGACTAGAAATAAAATAATACACTTGAAATTTTGTTTTGTAGTAAGCCTTGCAACAAATCCTCTGACTAAATTTATTTACATTTTTTAGGGGAAAAGAAACTATGGAAAGAGACTATGACCCACTATGGAAGGACAAACTATATTATAACTTGTAACGCCAGTCAGAAGAAAAGAAATGTCATCACACAAGTGATGTCACTTTGGCAAACAACTATTCAATGCAAAAATATATCCATTCCTCCCACTCAGCCTTCAGGACTATGAACTACACACTGTGTTTTATAGGAGTCCAGCTGGGAATACAATTTTGAGATTTCTCCACTTAGAAGACATACACTCCAAACATTTTCATGACCTGCATCTTAGCTATTTTCAAAGGCTCATCTCAGTTTTACTGCTGTTACAAGTTTTAGCATCAGCTAACTATATTCCATCCATAGGAACACACTGATCCTGAATTAGGTACAGTGTTACACATGGCAGCTTCTTACACAAGATCTGTCTCTACTAAATGTATTGAAATGTGAATGCTACATTAAATCTATTCTTTCAATAAATTTGGTTGGTTTTAACACTTATTCTAATAACAAATACAATTGAAGAAGAGAGGCCTTTGGTCTGAAAAGCAACACTATGAATATAATGGAACTATATTCAGAAAGGGAAACATTTAATTACAAATTAATTAGAAAAAGAAGAAAAATATGAAAATCTCTCTTATTGTAAGCATTTTGTTAATCATCATTTCACCTGGACCTACACATAAATATCTCCCCCATACAGCTATGAAACACTTACTACTCTAATTTATAATCAGATATTTTACTCAAACAAAACCAAAATGTATCACGTTATAGACAAATGAAAGATGAGCAAACGAGTTTCATAAGAACAATGTAATTCAATGAAGTGCTCACTAATGCCATGCATTAATGCACTCTTACCTGTCTTTGGCATTTTTTTCATTTTCTCCATAAAGAAGAAGAGAAAGACCATCTTCTGAACCAGCAATCCTTGCCAAAATATCAGCTACATCAAGTAAAGTGGTTTCAATACAGTTTATATACACCTATTTGGAAGAGGAAAATCAAAAAAGAAAGCTTTAAATTCAATGCTTTTGTGAAAGCTGTTTTTCCAAGTCTGTCTTATGTATGCAGAACTTGAAGGCCATCTTTCTGATGATTTCTTAATGTCTTAAAACACAGTAAGTTACCAGTCTACATTCAAATGTCAGCACACAGAAATCTTCATCACAAAGAGCACAATTTCCCAATATTTTCATGATTCTTACAGAAATGTTTATAATAAAAAAACCAAAAAAAAAACCAAGAAAAACCTTTTTCTTTTATCAATCCAGAAAATAGTAGCTTTCCATGTAGAATTATATATTTTACTTACACTAGTTATTGAGAACACCTAACTTACAAGTTGCCAACTGAATTTAAAAATAAAAGTAGGTTGTTTTTCAAATAAAGGTAGAGAAAATATTCATCCAAGAAATGTCTAAATGGCATCAGAAAAAAGACAAAACCAATGAGAAAAAATAAACAGTGTGTTTTTTCCCAAGGAAAGTAGTCTCACTACAGCACAATTTTTGCTACTATTCACAAGACTTCCATGTCACACCATTCACAGTAACAAACAAAACTATTCAATACATGCTATGATAATTAATGTATAAAATATTACAGAAGTACGTGAGTAAAGAAACCTTTTACACAGAAAATATGGAAAAAGCATAATATTCTACAATGTAAAAATCATTTGGAAGATTATTACAAACCTCTGTGCCACTCAGCAAACTTTGAACAGGATGAAGCAGGGCATCAATCACTGTATCTGTATACAAACACTCAGCATCACATCCTGTTTGATCACAAAAAACTTGCAGAATCTCCATAACAAGACTTTCTGGAGAATAATTGTCTGGTGAACACAAGAAATATTTATTCATATTTTAACTTAGACAAATATTTCTATATGATTTATGTAGTTGCTTCTGAATTAATAATAATTTTATTAAGTGCTGATTCAACATAGAGGAAAAAATGGTAAGGGTGGAAGGGGTAAGAAAAAAACTGCACTAGTAACAGACATTAATTAAAAATTGCAAAAGAAGTTATCATACGCCTCATTATAACTAAATATATTAGTGTATAAGGAAAAAAAAACCATTTACCTGTATTTGCTTCTAAAGCTGTGTTTGGGTGACTTGGAGAGTAATAAATAAGTTGAACAAATAATACCAACACATCAGTTATCGATATGCTATCTATTAAGAAAAATAAAATTAAAAAAAGAGAAAGTATTTTGTAAATTAAAGACTAAGCTTAATTTTCCAAATTAAAAATGGATTTTGTAAATATACGTAAAAATGCTTTGCTGTATAGAGGAAATCAGTTATGTATAACATAAGTGATAAAACAAAGGACATATAAGTCCTTGGGACTCTACTACGGTATTTCATGATCGACTTTTAAGACTTGATCTTGCTCTCAATTTAGCCAATTGAAATTTTATAATATCTTTCACTGCAACAAATGGCAGCCAACATTTGAAAATACTGAATATACATGACTGTAGAAAAAAAGCATTACTTTACTATTAGATTAAGTGAAACTGGAAAAGAGAGAGGCTGTCACACAACTCTCTCAGATCTGAAACAAAAACAACTAATGTAGCTAAATGCAAGATGGGAACAATTGCTCTGAGTTTAATGTAATAATGGTAATAGATCGGCCAATTTGTGAGGAAAGAGTTACCTTCTATGAAACTGAGAAGGACACTGTTAAGAAATGGCAAGATTGTTACATTTTTACAGGAAACAAAAAGCAACCACCATCCCTAGATCTCTGCTGGATGGGTGCTACACAGGTAATGCATAAATTAGAAAAGCACTTTATTAGTAGACCTTTCTTACAACTACTCCACATGGGATTAATCAAGATTTGATCCTCTAACCAGAAGGACAAAAGACAAGTCACAGAACTAGCATCCAGTAATGTTTCAAATTCCACATTGAATTAATAAAGACGTTAAAGCAATGGAATGCTACAATTGCCCTCACGAACTTCTTCTTGACAGCTCTGCACCATGTAGATCTCTCTGGCTGTCCAAGAACTTTTCTATCTCATACCTTGTGTCCCTATTAACACTTCTGTTCCACAGGTAGAGAACGTTTCTTCTACTTCTATCTTAATTAATAGATTAAGCTCAGAGCACTTGTTTTCAATTTGCTATTAGCTGATATTAAAATACTGATTTTTCTTTCACACCTGAAAAACAGTTCTGGTCCCTGGACATGTCTTTCTTCCAACCAATTACATCAAATGGTTTGACAGAAGCTATTACTCACACCTAGAAAAACTGAATCACTTACACACTGGTCCAACTGTCCTTCAACACTAAATTAATATATTAAAAGTAAAACACATTAGCAAACCATTCAACCACAACCATCAAAGAATGAAAAACTGTGTATAGATGTTCATTTATAGATATATACACAGAGACCACCTTTATGAAAGTTTCCAGGCCCAGAACCGGTAAACAAAGTATTGTTCTTCATTGTCCACACTATTGCAGTGAAAATATATAAACAAATACCAAGAATGGATACAGTTGTTTTCAACAGGTTCCATTCTCCTCAACTCTCATCCTACCTTTTTTATTTTTCAGTTGTACTGGAAAGAGATTCTGGCCTTGCTTATAGATCAACAATCTTCCTAAGAGGCACAGTGAATGAACAAAATAGATGTACTGCAACTCTGGTCCAGTGTAAGAAAAATTCTGCATATCACCTGTAACAATAAAGCAAAAACATTAGAACTTTACTCCTGTAGTTTACTTTACAGTACCTAGCTACTTCCTGCAACATAAGCAGATAATTTTGTATATAAAGACACCTTAAGTTAATTAACTGCTGCTATTAGTTTTCTCTTAAAAGATAATCATACAATATTTGGGGAAGAAATATAGAAGAATGTCTTGCTCTTGAGGTAGCATGCTCAAAAGCCTAAATAACGAGGATGTGTGCGCATATAATGTGAGACATGCAAAGATACTCACCACAGTGCTGCTGGGAGAAGTCACTGACTTCGGAATTTTTATTAACTGCTGCCTTGCAAAATTCAAAATAATCAAGACATTGCTGGACCGCTGCATTAATCTGTGGAATAAAGCACAAAATAATAAAGTACCTGATATTTCACAATAAACTCATTCTCTCTTGTATCCAAGTACTGTCCTTTAACACAAGAACTTAAATATCCACTTCACTTCAACGACTTCATTTTTCAGTGCTTTGGATGGATTAACCAAGAGGAGGCAAAATTTACAGGACTATTAAAATATATCACCATTATTATTACATTATCACACAATCAGCTCTATACACATAAAGACAGTTTATGAAAAGGAGTACAGAGAACATGGAAGTGTTTTGAGAAGTCAACAGCAATCTATGAATGCCCTACTGTCATTACTGTTAAAGATTTTAAATTTCCACATGTGAAAAAGTTTGTCTTGAATACACTTACTAAACTGTAGGTTTAGTTGCTAGGTGCTGTCAGTGCTAGTGCTGCTCTTGGTGGTGTATCATTGTCATAGCACTATAATCTAATCAAGGTATATAAAATTTTAAAAATTTTAAGCATTGTTGTAGCAAGGAAAAACAAAACATATTGTCCTGGTTTCAGTCGGGATAGAGTTATTTTTTTCTATTTTCTTATGATCCAAGAAGAATAGTTAGATTTATTACAGCTTGGAGCCGCCAAGATTTATTCACAAGTGTAAAAATACAGATATACACAATAAAAAAAAGACCCCACCTTAATCAGATTATAAATTAGATTAGACTACCCTGCTCATGGACTTTCTATTATAAACTCTGTTGTATGAATCATGCTTTATTCTATGTCATGTTCTATGCATGGAGATAGAAAAGATAAGGTCTCTTATAGTTGTCTGTGTCCTTTTCTATATTTTTATCAATCCCATATGTTTTACATTTGATTTCATTTGTATGACAAGATTTTATAAAACAAAGCCAAGTCCTTTTTATATGAACGGATCTCATACCTACAGTGGTCTTACTAAAAACAATGAAAATTCCATCCCTGTAAAGAGATCTGCCCAGACAAAATATATGATAGCTTAACAGCTATATTACTAAATGTGTTTTCCCATTTTGATTTATCTTGCCGACTTTGAACCCTTAATGTTTCAAAGAATACCATGCAGTTTTTTTAGCCTCTTTTCATCAAAAATCCAAATTCAGCACAGTGTATTTACAGTGGTTATCATGCACCATTTGTCATTTCTATGTTTTTTTGGAAATAATCCAAAATATGAATGAAACATAACAAATTAATAAATTACAATCCTAAGTAAACACCTGCAATAAAATATTCAAATTCCCCTTACTCAGCGCCGGCCATATATATATATACTTATATACTTCTTTGTGTTTATCAACAATCCATTTAAGCAAATAAAAACAAACAAAAAAAAAAATTTAAAATTTTTCTAGGTGAAGAACATGGAACAGCTCAAAAAAAAAAAAAAAAAAGACTAAATTGCAAGTAAATTTGCCTCGGCAATTCATAGAATCACCTGGGCTGAAAGGGACCTTAAAGATCGTCTAGTTCCAAACAATGCCATGGGCGAAGGGGCATCCACAACTTCTCTGGGGAATCTTTTCCAATGTCTCACCAATCTCACAGAAAAAAAGTTCCTCCTAATATCTAATCTAAATCTACTCTCCTTCAGTTTCAAGCCATTACCCTGTCTTCTATCAATAAATTTTATTTACAGACTATTATTGAATATATAATCAATAAAGTATATTAATAGAAGTACTTACCAAAGATTTATATTTCTTCTCTAGAAGCCTAAATACTACTCTTCTGCTGTAATATGCATGCTTGAATGACAAAGAAGATGTAATGTCAACTGCAGAGAAAAGTTCTGGTTTTTAACTAAAAAGTAGAAATTATCTCTGTCCTAGCAGACATCCCATATACAGTACATATTCAGTGTATTGAACTCCAGCTCAAGTAAGCCGGTATTATTCTCAACTGAGACTTTTGTTTGCAGTACATTTATGACAAAAAGAAACTACATCATTAGAAGAAAGTGTAGTAAAACACACAGTTAAAACAGAAAACATATAACTATGCTGAAATGCTAAACTATGCATTTTGAAATTGCCAAGCAATTCCTAAATTTTAAGTTTATATATGGTAGGCTGGAAAAATATCTAATGGCCACTGAAGTTTGCAAGTTGTGTGTAGTGTGTAATATATATAACTATCCTTTCATGTTCATCACTTCTTTCAAAAAAATACTTGTATCTTTTGATGGCTGTCAGTCAATTCTACCAAAGGAAATGAAGACATAAAGCACAGAAAATAATCAGAAATTTCATGAAAACAAGTAGCTGAACAGAAATTGAGGTGGATAGTAATATTGAAAAGCAGTGACCATCAAAGTCTTAAAAACCCCTACACTTCCTTAATTACAGTTCTCAGTATAGGCTGTTATAGGACACAATAGGTCCATGATGTCAGAACTGTAACTTTTCAAAATAAATGTCTGACATGAACAAGCTGTGAATTGTTGGGTTGCAGGTTATTTGCTTACCGTCCACTTCTTAAACCACACTGCTTTGATATCTAGCAGAGCCAAGAAGTGCATTGGACTCAAGAAATCTGGAGAGGCAGGATGATTAGGCTTGTGTTTTAATGATAGAAGTGACAAGGTACTCTCCACTACTTCTTCCATGTACCTTATGACACAAATGGGGAAAAAATGGGCAGAAAACAAAAATATCTGAAGTCACTGAAGTTCTTCCACCAGTAATGCTCAAGAACAAACTTCTCATAAAGCCTTGTTCAGACAAATCATAAGTATCAACAGCATTATCTTTACCTTGATCTTGTATGGGCATTAGTTCTTTGTAATACTACAAATAAAACTAATATGTATCTATATCCTCCTAAATTATTACATCTTTTAAGTGCTGAGTATTCCACTTGCTACACTTACATCCCAATTATTTTTGTTCAAAAGTACTTAGAACACTCCAAAAGCTAAGTAAGCAGCTTAATATGACTACTCCTATGTAACTTCCCCATTTTATTTTTCCCAGCTTCTAATTTTATTTCCCCTGTTATCACTGACCAGCCACTGTGCATCCTATAATCAAGCCTTTGCCAAAATTACATGCATCTTATTTTCTGTCAATAACTATTAAATTAAGAAACAGTTACAGGGTTTTGAAGGTGACATACTTTTCTGGATGTCGAATCCAGGAAGATGGTGCTTCCTTTTGGTACTCATTTAGAAGGCGAACCTGAAAACGTAATCATTAAAATTAAAAAATAATTCATGCATAATGTTTCAGTACTGATAGAAAAGGTACAGGAAGTTCATTTTTACCTTTTTAAGTAAACGATTTACATCTGAGCTAGATACATCCAGACCAGCTGAAATATGAAGAGAATATTCTCCAGAAAGAAAGCACAATTCCAAGTGTCTTGCTAAAAAAAAAAAAAGAGAAACCCAACAACAAAAAACTATTTCACCTCCATGACAACAATGAAAAAACAGGCTGTCTTATACAGTCATAATTATAAGATTTAACTTTTCAAAAAGTACATGACCCATGAAGTTTAAAATGTAATTAAATGCACATACCTAAACTTGTATAGACTTCTTTTGTCATATTAAATGGAGAAGAAGAAAAGGTTTTTGCATAGAACCTGAGAATTTTCTCCTAAGGGTGAAAAAAGCAAGCAGTGTATGAAATAGTCATTAACTGTGTATTGTAACTGCAAAATAATCAATATATCATCATTCTTAATATTGTGTATTATTTATCTAGACATCTGTACAGATGTTAAACATGTTTTTATAAAAATATAGTTCCTGATCACAGAAATCTCCAGTTCAAAGGAAATTTTATTCAAATACTTGAACTACAGCACCAATGCAAAGCTTCACCGAGTTACAGAGCAGACCAAGGAACATTACTTTTCCATTAAGAATCAGTGACTTGTAACTATCGCAGTTTTAAAAGAAATTGTAGAACTCAGGTGAAAGAGAAATATATGGCAGCATCTGGGGCCACTTTCCTATTTATTTGGTAATCACTTTAAAATTTGAAGAAGCAAAGAAGTTTGACATAACAAATAATCTAAAAGCCATTTAAGCAGCTCTCATTTCTTCCTCATCACTGCCTGTGTATTATTACTATGTATCATTTTCTCATCATCATGGAGCATAAACCTGACTTGAGCAGAAAATATTAACATGACCTATTTTACAAAGCAGTTCTGTCCATGTTTTTTTCGTGCATTTTTGCGAAAAGAAATTCAAAAGAAGTCTTCACTGTCATTAAAAGAAATCCAAATGAGTACTTCGGTGTCTAAATATCCTATTGAAAGCCTCTTGCAGTCCTTTAAACCAAAGGACTTTTAATTTACTGTAATCCTGTATTTGTGTTACTTCAGAAAATATGTCTATATAATAATAAAATGTCTTGAACCCTGCTGGACTACTTATGTGTGTAACTTCATACACCTCTTTGGTAGTCCTTTCTTTGTATACAAATCAGATAATTAGATACAAAACATTCCCTTACACTGAATGTTGCATCAGGATCTGCAAGGGAGATCGTCAGATGCTTACGCAGATTTGGCCAACTCTCAGAGCTCAGGATATCAGAGGCTGGGGCCAAGCACAGCGTCTGCAAAGCTTCTTGGCGAACCTGGAGCAGTCAAAAAGACAAACACCAAAAAAACATTCACAGTAACCTCTGAAATATGTAATTTACAAGTCAGAGGGAGGGAGAAAGGACAGGAAGGTACAGAATCTGGCTGTAGAATGGATAAGGAATAACAAATACTTATCTTCTCCTATATTTTTTATGGCTATTTAGACAAAACACTACATCACTGAGTGGGGAAATGCATGCATTCAAAGAAGTAATAAAACCATTTTAAATGAGTTTTTGATACTGAATGCAAGGTTTATGTTCTACTTTCTGCCTATAATCAAATATTTTGCTATTGAGGTATATAGTCACTAAAGCTCACAGCTAGAAGCAAACACAGTTATTAAACATTGTTTTGTACTACTGAATTTTCATCTGCATTCTAAATAATTTCAAGTAAAGCTTTTTTTAATTCATAGGAAAGTGTCATCTCTAGCAATTTATTTCATCTTACTGAAAGAAACTGTAGGACATGTTAATAACATTTAACAGCATCAGACTTTTTACCTAGTTTTCTAATAAAACTCCATAACAATGTTTGTAGCAGCTCCTACATACCATGCCTTTTTCAACTGCCAGACAAGCCCCAACAAGTCTTACCAAGACAGCACACTCAAACTGATATTTCTCCAAGCTTCAAAAATACCAGCAGCTGGTGCTGATTGTTGGTTAGAGACACAAATTAGTACTGCCACTGACAGGACAGCAAACCTAACTTGGACTTATATTTTCCATTTGGCAGCAGGTTGTTGGCAAATCAGCAGGTATCTCTCTCTCTTCTGACAGAGGTAACTCAAAGGGCAACACAGAAGTTACCAAGAAGGGTAAGGGACATGTATACAGGACAAATAATGTTCAGTAACTTTATTTATCATGGAACAACTTTTTTTTTTTTCTTTTTAACTAAAAATGCCAATCTATAGCACATACATCTCTAAAAAGAAATAAAAGATACTTGCTGCAACTCTAGTTTTTGAACCAAAGAGTTACAAACAATGAAGTAGCTGCACTGCAGAGTAGCTTCTGCACTAAAGGTAAGAGAGATGAACCAACAAAGACAAGTTTCCACATATGAACTTTTATGTGCATACAAGCTGCTCCCCAGTATGTCATAAACATTAATTTGTATTAACATTTCATCTCTCCTTTTAAACTTACTTCCTTGGGCTGACTAGGGTCAAGCCTTTCTGTGAGCAGCTGCAATTGTTCTTGACTCATGAATGCATAACTCTGTAATACACATTATAAAATGATCATTAGTATATTTTATTAAACTGAACACCAGAAGATTAAAATCATCAGTCTTTCTGATACCTAAGTTACTTTTAATAATTAGGACTTCAACATTTATACTAATTTGTTGACTATAAAGTCAACATTCCAAATGTTTTCTGCTATTTGCCCAAAGTTAAACTTAAGATAATGAAATTACTATGACATATATTGTTGGCTTTACTTCAATGTTTTCTATATCTTCAATAAATCCCTTATAATAATTCATTCAGCAAGAAATGTAGCATAGCTCAGTAGCCTGGAAATGAACTGCATGTTATTTGGCTTCTAAAGTAAAATCATAAAAGTTAGATGATGTACTAACTTTATCTTCCTATACCATACTTGGATAGGTACTTTGGAGCATATAGGCTTGATATATTGATCTCATCTAGCATATGATGCCTATAGTAGCTAGTATAAGCTTTGTACTTAAAACTGAAAGAAAAGCAAATAATTTGTGTTTAAGATACAACAAAGATGGGAAAAATTAGTCTTCCTCTAGGGCCACTCCATTGACAGAAGCTTAACAATTTTGCAGTATCATGATTATTTCATAACACAGAGAAAAACCCCATTGTACTTGGTTGAAGGAGGAGTCACTGTCAGAACAGTTGTCTGTGTAACAGCCACTCTGATGTTCTTCCTTTGCTTTACTAGCCAGCTCCTTATCATGCATCCGATCTTCTTCAAACTTGTTAATCAAAGATTCTACCACAGCCATCATGACATTCTTCAAGGCATATATCATTTCTCTGTATCTTAAAAGTAAAGATGATTTTTATAAGAGCATAAAAATCACTATGTAAAAAATAAGAAAAAGAAATTGCTACATCATGAATAACTGAAAATGACATAATGCTAATTTGACTTGAACTCACTGAATTTACAGCAATTAATGAATACCAAATCCAAGGAAACATAAATGTACTTGACGTGTTTCAGTTAATGATGTTTTAAAATTACAATAAAAACTCCTTTTTTCCCTTCCAGAAATATTCAATGAAATACCACTATCATAATTCTATTTTTGGATGTTCTCAAGAAAGAACAACATGAATCCACCAAAAAGCCTCCTTTTTAGAAGAGAGGGACCCTCCTTTTCAGGGACAGGAGGATTTGTCCCTGAAAAAACTGGCCAGCTTTCATCCTTGTTACTGTTTGTTTCTCATAGTTCATCATCCAATTTTACTGTTGCTATAAACTTCAAGCAGAACCAGTAGACATGAACACATCATCCTGATTCAAGATCTTGAGTACAGGATATGCACACAAAATAATTTTCTTTCAACAAAACCAGGGTTTTTCTAATTTCCATAAATTGAAAAATAATATCCACAGGGAAGCAATTCAAAATAAAAAAATGCTTCAAAGAAGCTTACTGTTGTAAAATGTTGATATTTTATTTCAAATTATTTTTTATGTTAATGCTACAATTATTTATTTTACAGTCATCAAAGATACAAATTATCATATTGTGCTTTAATATCCTCCTACATGTCAAATTAAAAATATAAGATACATATTTAGCTCACTGGAGTTTGTTCTACCAATTTGAATGGGCACAAAACCCTAAGGTCCTGATCCTTGAAACAAAATTATGCAAACAGCATATTTCAACAGTCTGAAAAATGGTCATCCTAACATTTATTTTCCTGTTTTCTTATTTTGCAACACATTAAAATAACTGATGATGCTAAAATCCTAAATACCTCAAAAATTTCACATATTTTCTACCTATCATTTTATGCAATTGTTCACAACCTTAATTCCAGTGTGAGACAAAGCATGATAAATTGCAATGTAGGGCAGCAATATCTGAATTTCTTAGCACTGATTTTGGTTACAGGTTCAGAATTTTTATTGGTTCAGATCTTATTTTTTCAAAATATGTTACAGAAAAGTGAAAGGAAGACTAAGACAAAAGAAGAAATAGAGATGTGAATTACAGATATATACTCACTCTTTTGATTCACGGGCTTTCTTAGTAAGATGTTGGACAAGTGTGTCATAGCCAGATATTTCACTCTGATTTTGCGCAGAGGTACATTTTTCTGTTTCTTCTTCAATCACAGGTCCCACAGTATTTTTTATGTATTGTCTGAGGTATTTCACAAACTCATAGCTGCAAGAAATATGCAAAATTAAAATGTAATATCTCCTTTAATTCACCATGGAACATTTTCAACATTATATCAACAACCACTATCTTCTCTCCCAGTAGATCTGTTACCCGGAGGAAAGAGCTTATGACTTGCATAGAAATAAATTTCAGGAGTGTAAAATAACACATTACAGTTTGATTTTCTTCAATATGGTCATTATCAGCATATTGTAAGAAGAAACAATATCAAATAGAAGAAACAAACCAATAGTTAGTTTATCAAATAGCACAATTTCACTTTATACTTCTTCTAAAAGTAGAAATCCACTCAGACAAAAGGTCAAGTATTAAAAAAAGAAACAAAGTATCAAGAAATTTCAAATTCCAAAAGAAACGTTCCTTATAGCACTCTGATCATGTCTTGGAGTATAAACTGTCTAAGACTGCCTTAAGAGTATAAACTGTCTCCTAATATTATTTATGCATTATGCATACAAAATTAGAAGATACACAGAAAACATAGTTTATAAATTAGAACATATGAGAACACCTATGGCCTATGAAACTCTATGTGCCATGAAAATACACAGATCTCAGTCAAACTGACAAAACAGCTGTCTGTGAGTACACAAACATATTAAATTCAAGGATTCACTGCTATGCAATCTTATGATCAGATACCCACAGACACTTGCTGAAAGAATAGAATAATCAGACGGAGATCTCAAACTAAAGACTCTCCCTGGGTCCTCCAACTTTTTATTAGCTATAGAAATTACTAAAGAGTACTGCTCAGAATAAATCAGTTTTCATTTTTGGATAGTTTTGTGATTTACATAAAGGGCAAGGCAAAGAGAAACACACAAAAAAGTAATCATATAGTAAGAGCAGATGCATAATTTAATCTGATTTGTATCAAAAGTAGATGTGCAACTACTTCACACTAACTTGGATAAAAAACCCCAAAACAAACAAAAAAACGCACACAAAATTATATCATGATAGATACCTCCTCACTAGATTGCCTACTTCAGTTTCCATAAGGTCAGTGTATTTCTTTTCCCCTACCTTTCCATTCTTGCTCTCAGTGAAAGTAACAGAAATACAGCTCAAGAAGGATGCAAAACATATTTATTTCTGTGTTCATTAGTGAAATTGCACACAACTCTCCACTGCATTAAAGCTTTCATGAAACTGTCTCCCCTTTGTTTTACAAGGGCAACACTTCCAGGCTATATGTTTTTGCAGTGACTCCTTCACTCTGAAATACAGAGTAACCACATCACTCTTCACACCACTACTTTAGTCTTCACCTTCTGCATTATTCTTCCACCTTAGACATGTTTTGTAACAACTATATGTTTCAGCAATGACAGCATTACTTCTTCACAAACAGAATCAATTCAGACTGATCTGGTAGGATTTACAAAGGTATCACACTTGGGGTGGTGTTAAAAATACCTCTAATGTAACAGAAAACATGTTAATTATGTAGTTTAAAATTCTGATGTCTACTACTGCACAGAAGTTTTGTACTTGATTCAATTTTCCTTTTTATTAGCTTTCTAAGGATCCTGGATTTCTGTCTTGTCTACATCAAAGTGGGATCAAAATGTAAAGTAAGGCCTCTAAACCTGGTAAAATTACTGCCTGCAAGTAAACATGAGGCAGGCAGACACAGTACTGCTGAAAATGCTGAGCTGAACTAGAGCACTGGACAGTCCAAAAGCACACACTACTAATAACAGACCTTGCTATCTCGATTGATAGGTTAAGGAGAAATTTTATTAATTACCTCACTTATAAATGACCATATGACCTCTCTGACTTTCCATGAAAACCATTCTCTACTGCCATGGGTCACAAACAAGACAAGAATACCTCCAGAAATATTGCAGCACCAGACAGTAATCTTCATGTTCTGAATTTTAAGATCACTTGATTTTCCATTAAATGTAAATTAAAACTGTTCTCATGAAAATAAAATATATCAGATCACAAATTTTCTAAAATAAAAGAAAGAGTAATGGATGTAAAAGGAAAAGCTACACAGGCATTGCTTCAACCACTTACAGACTACTCCCTCACCCTGCCTATTCTATTAGGTTCTTAGAAAAAAATGACAAAAATAATTCCAATTTTTTTTGTTTGAGATTTATTGTATATATCTTCTCTTAAATGTTTTTCTTTCAGAATTACATGTCTTTCAACTTTGATATGTTTACAACCAAATTCTTTTATTCTCATGCTTGTCACCCAGCAACCTACTACTCAAAATTCACAAGAGTACAAGCAACAGTGTAATCCAATACAATTTGTAACAAAAACTAAAACTGAGCTAAAATACCTTTTAAAGAATCTTCAAAACACATGCAAGCATCAAGATTTTAAAATTACAGTGAAATTTTAGATAAACCCTAGTTCTATTTCACTTATTTACTTTTACCTAACTCCTACTACTGACAAAGGAATGCTAATACCTAGGTAAATTTAAGAGAACGTAAATAGTGCCACTTCTGAAAAAAAATTATAGGAAAGCAGATTTCTCAGAAGAAATCATGTCACAGAGATCTGTTTCTTACTAAAATGTATTCAAGTCATTTCAGCTTGATATTCTCTTGGCTTGCCATAAAATATGTACTAAAAATCTCCCACGTAGCAAAAAAATAATCAAGTTATAACATCATGGAAAGGAAAGAGGAGTGTGGGATCTGGAAATCTAGATTGCATGTAAGTGAGGTCACACTGTCAAATCTGACTTAACGGCTGTGTGATGGGGATACATGTCTGTTTTACTTAAAAAATAAATTAAAATAATGATTTGAATAGATTGATAAGATAGACATTTTCAGTAATATAGGCCAGAGAGAACAATCAAATATGAAAGCCAAATGGCCCTCTGAAAAAGAACCCTATTTTGAAAAACAAGACTGTGATGTCTAGCAGGTGTCAAATATACTGAGAGTCTCAGTGATTACTTCTTCTAGCACCTTTTCACATGTGCATTTAGTACATTATGTGTGCACATGCACCAGAGCTTTGTAAATTCCTCTTTCACAAACAGTTAATTAATCACTACTACAGTAAAAAAAATATATTAGCAAGAGTGGATGGGGAAAAAAGCAAACCAAGAAAATGACATCAATTTTATTGTTTAAATTAGCATCATCTGAGAGTTGATTAGTGGCAGAAATATCTATAAATGTACAAGTACATACACATTTACAAAGCAATATAAAGTGTAGACATTTCCCAGGAATAATACAGCTTAACACATACCAACTTCTTCTAAATATTAAAAATAGCAAAAAAAATTATCTTTACTTGTGAAAATTCTCATCAGTTTCCTCCAAATGCAGGAGAATTTCTTCTGCACATTCTACTGATGGGGCTCCAGTGATTTTTTCCTTCACACTCAGCAGCAACTGTCTAAGCATAGATTGTAATAGAGCTTCATCTTCACTTGTAAAGTGAGACATCTGTAGAAAACAAATAGAAGGAAAAGAAACTCATTGTTTTGTTTTTCCTCAAGATGCTAAGAAAAGCCTTAAATCCCTTAAATTGCCACTTTTTTACTGTTATCAACAGGATTTTCTATCAAAAGACACAACCACAGACAGGAAATATTTGATAGAGCTTATCTTCAGACAAATTGAAAACAAATCAATCAAATCAGTTTCACTAAAACTCCTGATATTGTAGCATAATGTAGTTAAAGGAGATATACTATACATTAAGAAAAGCATGAATATTCCTATTTGTACTTGCCCATCACAGAGGCACAAGACCACACAGTAAGCTAAAAAAAAGAAAAAAAAGGAGGGAAAGTTTTACAGATGTAATGACTGTATCTTGATAAGAAAACCTTATAAATAGTCTTTCACCTGCTTCTCACCCACTATTACTACCCAGTTTTGACCTTGGAGTCCCCCTGCTCAGAGCTATTGCTGTGCCCATGACTGAAAGTACTGCCAGCTTTTGCAAGGGCCAGATGGAATTATCAGAACAGTTTAATTGCCCTGTGCTAATCAACAGCAGTGACCTGACAGAGTCTTGTTAAATTAAACAGAAACTGCTGGGAAAAACTAGGAGGAGAAGAAGCAGTGAGAAACTGGAAACATCTGTCAAGTCCAGGAGATAGACATCAGTTAAATTTTCAAAGGCTGAAAAAAAAATACACCAGCTCATTTTTGATCTTGATTAGTCAATGGCTTAAAAATATTTATATGCCATGGAATACATTCAAACCTCAGAGGCAGTTTTAGCTTATACATTTCTAGCCTATTTAAGGAAAAATTACTTAGAGATATTTGACTTCTTTGAATTAAAAATTAAAGACCCTCTAAGCAACTGTGAATAAACTATACACACACACCTGGAAGAGACAACATAGTAAATTACTGCTTAAGTATCAAATAGTATCAAGCAGGAAAAAAAAAAAAAAAAAAGCAGCAGTATAGCACCAGCTGAGATCCTCAACGTAGCACTTTTCTGTGGTAAGTAAAGCTGACCACTTTGATCATAATTCAACATTAACTCAATCATGTTACCAGAAATTTCATTAAACTAAAACTCAGGGCAAACAAACAAAACACCCCAAATCCCTTGCAATAATCTTAACTTACTGATTTGCAGCTGTCTTATAGAATCTCAAGATACTTAAAGTCAATGGTCTTTTAGGTCTATATAAACATAAGACAATATCCTAATTCCCTGGGGGAGGAAAAAAAAATCACCAAGTATTTTGGTATAAATAGGCATTTTTAGAAGTGCAAGGTATCCAGACACTGGCTGGCAGTCAATGCAAAGCCCTGCTCAGGTTATTCAGAGAGAAATCATAAGAATATTGCAGCTTCACCTCCAGTTTGCCTTGAAAAGTCTAACCTGGCTTATGCAACCACTAACAAAGATACATATCTTACACTTCATTAGTGAAAGTCTGTGGTTTGTTGTGCTTGGGTTTTTTTGGTGGTTGTTGCTTTGGAGGTTATTTGCCCAGCAGGCATATCCCCCATTCAGTTTCCAGGCAACATTTAAATGGTCGTTTTCTCCCTAAATTACAGCTTTACCCAAAGTCCAGTTTGGGCACTCTTTTCAAGGTCCCGGCACTATCCCAAATGCAAATCCTGCCCCACAACTCAGGCAACGATTCAGAAGCGGCCTGTTTTTGCCAGCATTTATCCATACACAAGCCTCCGCCTGGACAGGGAAGCAATTTTAGCAACAAACCGAGGAGAGCAGCTCCCAGAACGCGAGCAGTGCGAGAACCCCTGCCCCTTCTGACGCTTTACCCCCGTCCTTCGGCTTCGCACCAGGGCTGGCCAACAACCAGCATTCCTGGGACAAGCCACGCAGGAGGAGAGGCGACGTTCTCTTCCCAAGCGTCGGGAGATGCTACCCCTGCTCAGGCGCTTCCCTCAGCTATCACGGACAGCGCGAGCGACCTCTGCCCGGGCACCTCGGATGCGCTCGCCCCTCCCACCCGCTCAGCTCCGCCACGCTCCCCCGTGCCCCGGGAGCCCCGCATTCCCAGCCCCGAGCCGGCTCCCTGCCCGCAGCCCGTGCCCGCGGGATTCACCTTGGCCGGCCGCGGCCCTTGGCAACCGCGGCGCCGCCGCCGCCGAGTCTCGCCGGGCCCTGGAAACATCGCGAGAAGCCGCGTGGGCCGCCCGGGCGCGCGGGGTGGCGCTGCCGCGGTGGCGGCCGCCGTGAGGGCTCCGTGAGGGCGGCGGGAGAGGAGCTCGGCCGGCGCGGGGATGTGTTTGCTGTACGGGCATCCCCAGCAGAGCTCAGGAATGCTCAGCTCTCCTGGCTTCAGGCTCCTCTCTGTTTAGCCGGGGGTGGTGGCCCCCAGGTTTCCCACTCAAAGGAATACAGTCGTGCTGTTATTCCCAATTTGCATCAGCAGGGGAGCAGGCTGTCTCAATAAATAAAATAATGAATGGCAAGGAATTTTTCAGTCCTCTTTAACTCTACATTCCCTCCTGTAATTAAGGAAATATTAAAAATAACAAACTTTTTTTCTCTCAAATAAATACATCAAACATAACGTTTTGCATAACACAAAAACAGGAAAAGCAGTTTGATATGAAATTTTTTCTATTGGGTCAGCTATAATAAACCAGAATTTAGTTACTGTAAGCACTCATAATGATGTTCATCAGTGCTTGCATGCAAGGTATTACACAGTGCATTAGTTTCCTTTCCTCCTACATTTTTCTAGTGATTCTGATGTTGGGTGATGCTAATCTTCCACGATGATGTGTCCCTTAAATGTTATCTTCCATGTAACACTAATCTTCCATGAGGGCTGGTTCCTTTAACTGGACCTGTAGCCCCTTCAGTTAACAGCGCTCTACTTAGTTGTGGGCATCCACTTGCACAGTGGAATTAAGTTTGTAAACCACAGTACTTCTATTGAAAAGGGATAATTCAGGAGGAACACAAATCTCTCTTACTGCCTATTCTCAGAAACCAGATTTTAATGGGTTGCAACAAATTTTCTGTGATACCTTTAGCAGTGAGCTCTTCGGTGCTTGAACATGGCCAGTGCCCTCAGGTACCCACAAAATAAAACTGGAGAAATTTTCTGCTGACTGCTGCTTGCAAAGGGCCACCAGTAAACTGACCAAAGTCCTGTTAGCTTGGCCATGCACTCTCCCATCTTCTAAAGTGCACTGTTTGGAATGGGCTACAAGTGACAGCAGTTTATTCCTCATCCATGCCAGGTTCTTCTTTCACAGGCAGCAGAATGGTTTGCTTCTTTTCTGTCCTCATACCAACTGAGAGCTGTGGTGCAACACTTCTAATTCCTTTATCACTTCACAAGCACTGATTCAAGTGACAGCATCTCAGTTTCATAGCTGATAAGGAATAGAAAAAAAAATCAATGTATATATTGTTCAGCATCTGTAGTCCTCATTGAAAGAGCCTCCACTTTAAGAAGCCTTCCTTATCTTATAAAACACCTTATAAGAAACTTGTAGTTACACTTGTAGTGTCATCACAGAAAGATGTCCTTGTGATGTTCCTGAAATCCTTCAATTTCTTTCTACCCTCTCCCACCCTCTGTGTTGCATCCAGCTTCTTTAGCCGCGCTTTGTAGCCATTGAAACCTGAAGCCTTTTCTTGTGAATAAAGCCGGCACACCTCAGATGCCATTGGCCATGATTATAAGGATGCATCCAGACAGACACCCTCCAAGGGTGATACTCCAGAGTGAACACTATTCTGAAGTACAGTATGTTTACATGGATGGATGTCTGTCACATGAGAGAGGTTGCAGTCACTGTGAAATTGTTCGTGTGGATTTCACACTGGTGAAATTACACTCTCTCTTACTTTAGAAATTCCTTCTCCTTGGTAAAAATATTCCAGATGTTCTCTCTCAGTTGTACAAACAGGAAGGCCTGGCTCCTAACTCCAGTTCAGGAAGGCATGAGATAAAATAACTCTTCGTAAGATCTCAGCATCGTCAGAAAGTTACAGTGCTGACTTCTTTAATTTTAGAAAATTAAAGGATACAACAAGTACACAACTTCCTAGAGTGTTTAGCATATAAAGTAAGCAGAGTTTCAAACTGAAAAACATTATAGGAATGTGAGTAATTTAAGTATTATAGAGTAATTTAAGTATTATAGAGAAGTTAAATTTAATTGATATAGTTTTCTCCTCATACCTTGAACATGTCCCAATATTTGAATTATCATTTTATGCCAAATTTCTGTAAATTTGAAAAGTTTCTGCAGTGTCTTCAATGTGGCAGACCAGAAAAAAAAAAGGAAACTGTGGAAAAGAGAGTAATCTTCTTTACAGCTGGTAGTAGTGGAAACAGCTTGTGTTAGTGCCCAGAAACACAATTTCTTTCCCCACTTTCTGCTCTTTCTAGCTTTTTTTCTTCACTGTAACTTCCCACAAGAGTACTTTTTCTGGATGATACACAAAGTCTGGAGAAATTTTTGATTTATGTAGTTGATACACAACTGTTAGCTTCTCCAAGACTCTAGCTAAGACTTTCACAAACTCTGTATGTAGGACCTACTAAAGGAATTGGGGTTTAGTATCTCATAAAAAAATGTAGCACAGCCAGTATCTATTGAAATTCCAGTTTATCAGCCTTTCCTTGGCTGATACAGTTTACAAAGGATTATATACCAAAGAACTAAAAGGGAAGGCAAACTCCACTTGACTAGGACAAACTCAACCAAACCCAAACAAAAGCAATATTCTATTCTCCCATTTCAGAGCTAAGTGATCAGAAGGAGCAAAGGTTTCCTCACTTTAGAGTTTCCCAGACTGGGACTAAGATATGAAAAGGAAGAAATAAGTTAGGAAAGGAGAAAAAAGTGTGAATTCTGGTTCTGGAGGTAGCACAAGAAGTCTTCACCACTTTTCTGCTCACTGACATTCCTTAAGCAGTTCTTGAGCTTGCAAGTAAAAAACGAGGACACTTCATCAAGCCTTGTATGAATGCTGTGGCATTTGTTGCCCTCGCACGTCACATCTATGGCAGTTTCCCAAATTTGGAGGAACAATGAACATGTTTTAAGACATCTTTAGATCATAATCTAATCATAAATATCAAAAAGGAAACTGCTTAAAATATTACTGCTTATGGGAAAATCTTTTTAAATAATCTCCAAAGGAAATTTTCTGTTTTGGAGACCATCTGTCCTTTCCTCCCTGTGCACTCTGGGGAAATACTAACCCCTGGATAGATGTTTCCGTTAAAACAAACACTAAGGAAATGGTGGGTAAATGGTCACAAGGGTTGCAGGCTGGAGAACTTATGCTATCAGCTGCACTTAGAAGTCTTGTGTAAGAATACACGCAAACAGAATTTATATCAGTTCCGTAACAGGGAAAATGTAAAGTGTCCTGACAGGTCTAGAGTTACATCAGATGACTTTGTACATACCTGTTGAGAGCTAAGCTGGTATAAGATGCATGTAAACTATTACAGGAATCAAAAATCAAATTAGGTCAGTTTGCTTATTTGGTGATTAAATTTCAGTTATGCTGACACTTCAAAAAGGCTGAAGATCTTACTTTGCTGTTTTGATCTCTTTTTTCTGAAAAGTGAGAAACTGTCAGGAAATCGATAGAACTCTCGCATAACATTGTTAAACACCAACTCTGAATCAGCCTGTCCAATACCAATCAGGAATGTTATTGATTAAAAATATAACTTAATGAATATATAGGTACTGATTTTTCCATCTGTATTTTATGATGCAGTTTTCAATAGGTGCTCTGATTGTGGTTGTAAAAATAACTACCGGAACTGAGGGGATAAAATCTATACTGGAATGCTAAGTAACTACCTCAAAGAATCAAAGACAAAATAAGCTTCAATGATAATATAAATATCCAAGTGCAAATAAAATAATTTTCCAATCCACAACTTTCTTTTGATGAAACTTCAAGGAGCCAAGGACATGTGTTACTAGCTCTGACTGGCCTTAGGCAGACCTCTTATCATCAGACTTAGGTCTTTGTTGGAAATTGAGAATAATGAAATTATCTTTATATGCCATTATGAAAATTAATCTCACAGAAGTACAACATAATAAACAAGTGGCATCATAGACCTTGACTTAATTTTCCATTTCTTTTCTAATTAATACTTTGGTCCTTTTTTGTCATGTATTTCCTGAAGGTGGCAGCAATATTCAGGAGTTGCGTGAATTGAACCTATTGACCTCTAATGCAACATTTCTTTCAATGTAAATATACTTGTATTTATGTATGTTAATAATATGCTTAAATAAAAATTTGATGACATAATTGTAGTTGTAGACATAGGATGTACAATATCACTAGAAAATATGAAGAAACTATGTTGACCTGGAGTGTTAGAATTGCTTATTCTTTTGTATGATAAATATTTGTAAGCTAAAGAGGATTCCAAAAGTATTAAATATTTTTAAGTAACTGTTTACTATTGCTTGCAGTTAAAATTATCCATTTCATTGTCTTCATTGAAGCCTGTATTGTACGCCTTTTCTGAAGTGAACTGTAAGCTCATTTGTTGTAAATGACACTACATGAGCAGTTCAAAACACTACAAATAGTATGTGTGATCACTGAAAAAAGATTATAGCCTGTCTGTAGGATTCCTTTCAGTTCCACCATTTGATCTTAATCATTTAAAATCACTGCTAGAGCCACTCAGGCCAACTACCTCACAGCATTGCAGAGTTTTAACTAAAAAAGAAACTTTAACACTTCTGCTTTTGCTTCAGATGTGGTACACTGCATGGTTGTAAAATGCTTCTGCTACTGAGGCAAGGCAGTTGCATCAACATTAGAAATACAAAATAATTTAGAGAATTTTTGTCTCCTTTCATTTTGATAGTGGTTGCCTGGTCAGGGAATTGCAGATCCCACTGCAGTTTAAATGGAGGATCATGGAAGCCCACAAAGATATCTCTGCAGCAGTGCTCTCCTCCCCTTTGTCTTTCACTAACAGAACTGCATTATGTCAGTTCATTCTTCTGCCTGCACTCTTCTGTCAGCTCCAGGGCTGCCCTCACAATGCATCCAGGACAAGGGCCCAGGTACTGGTACTGCTGTCCCAGAAATGCCACTTTGA